GTGGAATTCAGAAAAAAAATACAGAAAAAGGCTAAAGTTAGAAAAATGACAACAGAAAAAGTGGACTTAGGAAAAAAATGAAAACAGAATTTGAGAAARAGCAAAACAGATTTCATATAATCAAAATGAGTATGTTTGGAGGAATCAAGGTGAAGCTTTTTAAACTAAAAACATTGGATCAACTGTCAAGTGTTGGGGTCAATCATGCTGTGGTGCTGGTGCTTCACCTCAAACCAGCTGAAACTTGGACACAGTTGGATTGTCCAACAAACACACATYACAACTGGTTTCTGATTGGCTCACATTAAACCTCCGGAGTGACCTTTCCAAAGCCCCAACATGCCACAGAACATTCAACCAAATATTAGTTTGGGTGTATATTTGAGCCAGTGGGTTCAATTTTGACCCTGTGAGGGTTAGTGAAAATCAACAGTCAAATTCTCAGTTTTTGTTTTTAATACTGTGGCTTAGATATAGATGTATGTGTCAATGTGTGAAAACCACCACTGTACCCACCCTGTGACTCATAAACTATAGCTGTTCTGTGTCACACTCTCAGTTTCAGTCACCTTATGGTTAATGGGAGCGCTGTTGCTGCAGTAAAACTCATGGTCAGCTCCCAGGATGTACGTGAGATTTGAGGCCTTCCCGCTTCTCAGTCTCTGAGACGTGTAGCACTCCTGATGCAGGTTCCTCACATCACCTGAGCAGGTAAAAAAAAAATTCCAAAGAAGCAGTAAATATGATTGTTTTGATACTAAATGCTGCATTTTCTTTTTTATGAAGTAGGCTGTAAAACTGCCTTTTCACCTGTAAATGATGCTGTTTGATTTGTTGCTGTGATCTGCATTCAAAAAATAAAAACTTAGAATAATCAGAATAACAGCGACTATTAATAATAGGGTTACATCACAGAATCTTTGTTTTGAAATGAAAACATTTACTGTTACATAAATGTTTTAAACATTTGACATAAACCTGGAAACTTGTTGACATTTTGTAAATTTATTTTCACATTGCGACTGTGTAACATTTGCACAGATGAAACAATTAATCTGTTTTCAGGTCACCTAAATACAGATTCTTTCTTAAATAACTGGACTAAACGTGCCTCAGAAAATTATTACATGCATTTTTTTTCTTACATTCATGTTTGATTTAAACATGCTCAAATGCTAACCATGCTGCCCTGCTAACACAGTAGGGATGGAGCAAGACAGTTTTGGTTGGGGTGGCCAAGGTGGTTGTTAAGGGGGCACATACAATTAGATAAAACTACTTTAGATTTGAAAATTCATGATGGCCTCCACAGCTAACTTCAACCGGCTCTAATTTAGCTGTTTTAATCCTCCAGCTGTCCTTGCAGMGCGCTAACAAAGCTATCAAGTAAAAGTCATGGCTGCTTCTTGGGGAGCCAGCCAGACCACCCACAAACACCACCTAACAACCCCACCCCAACCCACCTTTGCCCCTCAACCTCCGCCAGAGTTGTAAAGTAAATAAGTACAAATACTTTGTTACTGTATTTAAGTATAAATTTTGAGTATCTGTACTTTAATTAAGTGTTTATTTTTCAGCCTACTTTTTACTTCTACTCCTTACATTTTTAAAAAAGACAAGAAGTAAAAAGTCGTTACTTTTATGTCATTTTTGATTGTTTTCATTCCAGCTTGTTTTTGTAAAAAAAATAATTCTCTCCATATAAATTGTGCCTAAAAGATAGAGTGAATTTAATTGTGATTTTATATATAAATATAAACTCTGACAGCGTATTAGTTTGTACACAAACAAATCATGTCACACTCCAGCAGGACATAATCATTAAAATAAAAGGACTGTACTTAAGAAGTATTTGTATTTCATGAATTATATTATTGTATTTGGTCGCAGCCCTCAGATAGATTTTCACTTTGGGGAAAAGTTTTGGGCAGCCTTGATATATGTATATAAACTGAAACTAGTGCATCATAAATTTAACATGAATTAATTATTTTAATACGATATAGTAATTTCTGCATTTTTCAGGGAGGTCACCTCCTAATAAATGTCCTTAATAAATAACTCTCTCAGAAAATCTAACTGCTCATTTTWAATCAATACTTTTACTTTTAATACTTAAGTACAAAAATATCAGATACTCTAAAGACTTTCACTCAAGTAATATTCCTAAAGGAGACTAACTTTTACCAAAGTCATAAGATATTTATACTTTTACTCAAGTATCACTTTGTGGTACTTTATACAACACTGACCTCTGCTTAATCAGGTGGGGCTCAGAAGGACCCCACCGCCACATCAAACATGAGTGGGGTCATAAGGACAAAGATGAGCTGAAATTTTTGTGTGATTGTAGCTAAGAAYGAAAAAAAAATAACATGCTGATTGTTAGTCCCAACAAAGATAACTGCTAATGCTAATTTCACAAAAGGCTTTGATTTAGCCATTTTTAAACACACAGCTAAAAATTAGCATTGTAGTAGCCAAGACTCAGTCTTTTACTAAATCTGATTTCAAATACAAAATCCAAGATGGATGCCAAAGCTAACTTCAAATGGCTACAACTCAGACATTTTTAGAAATACTGAGCTGGAATTTGGTGTGATGGTAGCCAAGAGCAGCCCCCATGATATACCCCAGCTAACAAAAAATGTGTCTCATTGTATGCCCGTCTTTGAAATGCAACGTGCAAACAATCATTTGGGGGTGGCAATTGGGGTGGCCCTCTGACTTCGCCCCTGCAGAACAGTAGCAACTTCCCACTTTTAAATAAAATCAGTGCTCACCCCCTGAGCCATATTTGAGCCTGAACACAGAGGTCCATAATGACCCCCTCTGCTCCATCAGTCCCAGCATCCTGCTGCCCACCAGTCCAGGTAAAAGGAGCTCCGCCTCCCCTGAGTACTGGCTGCTGCTGCCATCCCAGCGGCGCTCCAGAGCCACTGAACACAGACAAACAGCTTGTTCAATCATTTGTTTTATCAGATGTTTCATTAAGTAAATAACATCACCTGAGAGTGATGCGGTTTCTCTGAACACATTCTTCACAGCAGCAGAAAAGATAGTCCTCCTGCCGAGACCACGGGTAATGTTAGCAGATATGATTATTGGGTGTTTGTCTGCGGACATTTTAGCCTCAAAATGATAATGTGTCCTCAGCTCAGACATGAGGGTGTGGGTTTTAACCAAACCCTGCAAGACATAGGATTCAAATTAAACCAATCAAATGAAAAAATACACATAATMCTCTCACACAAACTCCAGTGTGATACTAACCATGACATAATAATGAACACTGTCAATCACAAGCTCCAGCTTCCCTGACTTGATGTTCTTTTCTCGTTCAAATTGTCCTGAAAAATAAGTTTAAAAATTATATTTGTAAAAATCTGAAATATATCAATCTGCCTGTTATCCTCTGGGACCAACCTTGTATGAGGATGGTTTTCAGAGGATGAGTGATCCTCAGCAGCACTCTGTGAGAGTTGAAGGCCAGGTCCAGGGACATGTCTCTGGGGATGGAGGACTGTGGCGTGGACAGAAGGAGGTGGACGGAGGCCTCTGTGGGGAACCAGGAGCCTCTCTGAACCACATGTTAGACACAGTTCAGCATTTAGATGATAATAAAGACAAATTCAAATGGTGGTTTTACTCCACGTGCACCTGATGATGGAGAGAGTAGGCAGCTTCTAGCAGATAGTAATGCAGACCTCTGTCTAGCTTCAGCAGCCTGAGGGAGAGGTGGACCGGTCCAGGAGAGGGGATAGTGATACCAGAAGTAAGAGATGGATAGGAGACATTGGAGCACAGCTGCCAGCCGATCATTTTAGACCCTTCGAGAAAGCAAAATCACCAGCTAAAGACTTAGAACATTAAAAACTATGAGCAACATGTGAGATGTGAGTAGAGTGTGGTTTACTTCTCTTTTTTTTTTGGATCTTCTTGCAAAATTAAATTCATTAATTTTATTTTCCATAACATTTGATCAAACGGAGACTTGTCTTTGACCCCTGGTTCTTAAATACAACACAAATGTTTGAGGATCTGGGTTCACCTGAAACTGCTCAGACTGAAAAAGTCTCTTGGAAGAACCTGTCTAGAGCAGGGGTTCTCAAGCCATTTGGGTCTGGGGACCCCTTACAAGAACAAAAAAATAAAAATAAAATTTCCAGGGACCCCCTCATAAACTCCATGCTGTTTTAAAAGTTAATTTATTGTCATTTCAACACCTAAATGCCATGGGAATAGATATTTTTATTAAGTTTATTATGTTTGTTTTACTGGTTCATTGTTCTCCGTGCATTTTTTGAAAAATAAAAACCAAATTAACATTTCAGTAAAAAATTTTGAGGACCCCCCAAGATACACCTCGCGGACTCCTAGGGGTCCAGGGACCCTAGTTTGAGAACCTCTGCTCTAGGGGACCTACAATTTTTTTTCTTTTTGATCTGGATTTCTATTAATTTTCCTTTCTGTGAATTGCTTTTAGTGTAAGTTAAGATTCTCCTCAGGGTCTAGCTCCTCCCACACCAGATTTGTGTTGTCTGTCTCCAGGTGTCTTTCCTTTCCCTTCAGTAGTTCTCCCTTTAAATTCGGTATCTCGTCTTCTCCTGCCTGTCGGACCACTGTGCTCTGTGTCTTTATTTTTGTAATAAGTCCTTTTCTTTATCATTTTTGAGTTCCTGCCAGGCGGCACAGTGGTTAAGTTGGTAGAGTTGTTGCTTCTCAGCAAGAAGGTTGCTGGATTGAATCCCAGTCTGAGGACTTTTCTGGAAGAGTTTGCATGTTCTCTCCGTGCATGTGTGGGTTTTYTCTTGGTACTTCGGCTTCCTCCCAMAGACCAAAAACTGTGCTTACTGGACTGACAGCACTGTTACAAGTAGTTTTGTAAAAATCTTTTCCTGTTGCTGTTATTTAGATACTCCTTGAGTCTTAGTCTTGGTCCTCTCATTCATGCAGCTGTGACTTCTTGTAAATATAAAACTTAGGACTTTGCCTTTGTAAAGTATATATCTATTGGATGGTACAAGCTTGAAAACCTTTTGTGATGTATGTATAAAAGTATTTACTGACTTACAGGCTTTTGGTGTGCAGGAGGTGTTGTGGACTCGACTTTTTGGCCCCTTGATCTCCTCTCTGTGGTTTCCGCTGAGCTGAAATAATCTGGAGCTGGTGAGCACAAAGATTACAAGATGTCTTTGAGATTCCATCAATATCATCTCAATGTCAGGGTGTGCTTTTAGTTGTCCTTTTAGATTTTTTAACTTGTTGGTTATTGTGTTTGTTTGATGCATTTTGTGTTTTTGTTATGTACTTCTGTGTGTCTATCCTGGTACACCCACCCTCACCTGTTTCCCATTCCTATTGGCCTCACCTGCAGCCACCTCTTTTATTAGCCTCTGCCTTTATGTTTCCTCCTTTCTTACTACTCTTTAGTCTAACAGTGTGGGCTTCACGTCCCTGTTCTGGTTCTCCCTCAAGTTATTTGTRGTTTTGATGCCACATCAACCTTTTTGTTTTTTATTAAATAAATCTTAAGCTTTTTTTATTTAAGTTCATTATGTCACTCTGTATTTTGGGGTCCAGTTCTTTACAAACTGTGACACTCAAACTGTTACAGTTCTAATTTCCAAAACATTTTTCTACCAAAGCAGCATGTTTGTTTCTTTCCTGTTAAGAACAATGGGCCTCATGCAAGAACCGTTCGTACGCACAGATTTGTTCTTAAATTGTGCGTACGAGTGATTTAGGAGAATTTGTGG